TTTTGATTAATACATAGTATATATAACACATATAAATTATTTTCTTATTTATATTATATAAATTTGGAATTAAAAAAGTATATGCCTATATTTTAGATCAGAATATTAATTTATGTGACAGATATTTGATAAATATTATTTTCCCCGTTCTTGTTTTATTTATCTTTGTTTTATTTTGTCGATGCTAGGGAACATATAAAGTGAGAAAATTTTGGAACAGAGAGCATCGATAGTATATCGAAACGTGGATGACATTTTGGCTGCGTTTCAGAACGCCTTAGGAATATAGAAAGACCGATAACGGACAACGATAGAACGGATCGATCGTTTCTCAGTTTAACCTACTTAAACTTTCGTACAACGACGACGTTAGCGCTTTTCCGTTTTATATATACATATATATATATACATAGATATATATCTATATACAGATCGTTTGAAATTTTCTTTTATATCTCTTCGTGAGAGACTAGTGATTTTCTTATTGTTAACCACGTAATGCAATTGAAAATAATCTAACTTAGGATCCATTTATCTCAAGACTTAATAATCATCATTTTCAATTCTTTATCGGTCACAACGTTTATGGAAAATAAAATAAATGATATTATAAAAGACAATGATAATTGTTGAAATTTATTATCGTTATAATTTTTCGATAAAATTCTTGAATTAGTAGTAATATGTTTCGAACCACGTTGTTTTGTAGTTTCGTTAAAATGTATTCTAATGGAAATTTTGCTACGGTCACGTAAAGGAATGATTGATCAATGGAAATTATAGGAGTAATTATAATATATATATATGTATCAAAAGAGTTGTTAGACTTTTATCGGTTTTTGGGAACACATTAAATTTTCAGTTTATAATTTTAAATGAAAATGATAATTAGGCTGAGTATAGTAAATGCAGAAAAGTTTTTGCTTAATTCTCGAAATGAATTACAAATTTCTTAAACATTTGTGTTAGATTGTATAATTTTGTTCTATTTTATTTTTTCCAATATTTGCGATCGATATTTAAATGTGATAAAATACCATATATACCCTAAATCACAAAATGTAACCCCGATGGTACGCTACCCCTAATATAAATACAAACACTCTATATAAAATACTAACAAATGATTATTTATACACCGTATACGAGCAACTCGAATATATTTGTCATACGTTTTACAAAATAATGACTGAAAATATATATTGACCCAATAAATAGAACTGTCATCGAAGGTATACCAAAATTTCATCTATCCCAATGTATTTTCATCAATTTCACAGCGCCCAAATATAAATACAATTAAATTATCTATCTCAATGTGAAACTTAACGAAAAAATACTTATGCATAATTAATTGCAATTAAAAACACGACAAATTTTAATCGAATAAGACGAAAACAAACAAACAAAAATATCTCATTAATCTAAAATATATTTTTATCAATTCCTGACCCGATGCAATCGTTTTTTTTTCCTTTTTAACCTTTGACCTGTGGATAACGTCTGACTCTTTCTCTCTCTCTCTCTCTACCCTCTTGCCCCCCCCCCTCCCATCTAAGTTATTCTCATTCGTGCGATATTCGACGTGAGAAGCACGACACCGTCTCGTGGCTTGCCACGAACGTTACCGCGGGGTGGTACCACCCCTCTCGATGCGGTTGCACTACCGTTTAATTTGTCCGTTCCGAAGTTTCGTAGTCCCCGCGAACATGGCCGTAGTAGAGTCGAACAATTCGCGCCCCGTCGAACGAAATTGCAAAAGTTGTTAGTTTCGTTCGCGACAAAAGTAGAAATGGGGTGTAAAGCTTTGCCTGTTACACGAAACGTTAACCCCTATAGGTATGTTACTTCTATAACTAGCTCGACACCCAACCCCCTGCCCCCGTTTTACTCTTGTTACCCTTTTTTCCGGTACTATCGACTTTAATTTTAACTTGGTAGAATCGTTTCGAAATCGTTACAACGTTTTCTACGCGAGATTTTTTTTCCCCTCGAAAGAGTTTAATACGATTTCAAACGAACGAGAAAACAAAATGCGTTGGCCAGGGGGGAAGGGAGGGATAGGGGGAAGGATATCCGGTTGAAGGACTCTTCCCTATTTTATTTTCATTTTTGTTTGATTCTTTTTTCCTTTAACGCTAATTTATTACAACTTTCTTTCCTTTCCTTTTCTATCCTTTTCCCGTACTTTTACTGTCCACTCCCCTCCCCTTTCCACCAACCCCCGCCACTTTTATTTTCTTTCAATTTATTTTTTGTCCTTGTCGTCATTGGCGTTGTTATTTTTTTTCCTTTTTTTCTTTTTTTTTTTCCTTCTTTTTTATTCATTTTCCACGCGTATAACGCTTGATCGAGGAAACTTATGAATAATGCATGAGTCGAAGTTGCATCGTTGTACGCGTATCTGTATGTGCATTGAACTAGGATCGCGAACCAGCACATACAACCAACGTTTGTAATTCCATTAACTATGCCGTTTTATCGCCCAATACCGTAGCTTCGATCGAATAACTTTCCGTTTATATATAACAATGTTCGCGTGTTGTTTCGGAGAATATTGAATTATTCACTTGGATGGACCAACAACGTAGAATTATCTACACTCCGACTTTCACCGATCGGTTAGCTTCCCTACGTTAGATATCAACTTCGATTCCTCTAAGTATCTTAAGATACAACTTCGGCATCTTAAGTTTACGAACGAAACAACCAACTAACCAACAAACCAACCAACCCTTTATACAATAAGCCTATTTAATGAAGACCAATGACCTTTAACATGAAGTTTTTTACCCGTTTGTGTTATATTCAGAAAGATATTATAATATGATATTTATTTACTTCTAATCGAATTTATAATATTAATAAATATCTATGTAATTTACTCATTGTATGTATGCATGTATGTATGTATAGTGAATAATCGAAAAAGTATTCGTATCTGTTCTCATTGTAAATTTGAAATAATTGATATTTTCTTGTAATGCAAAGCTTTATAATTTTTACACAAGTAGAAATTTATTTCAGGACTATTAAGTTTTCATTCAAATGAAAAATTGGCCATACATGAATATTTGCATGTATGTATGTAAAATGTAATAATGATATAATTATTATTTTTCTAAATATAATACTTGATTGATCATTCTCCCTTGATTGCATCTTATAATCCTTTTGAGACAATTGGCCATCAGTTATTTATGCAATTTTACTTCTCTTATAATAAAATGTTCTTTTGCAAAGATAATTTATATCAATTGAAAAGATTAATTATGTTAAGAAATATTTTTTTTGTATAAAAAAACATTGAAATATTGTATTGAAAGAAAATATTGATTGTTTAAAATTGATAATAGAGGTAGGAATACTCCTGTGACTCATTGCATACGTGTGTGTACTTTGTATTATATTATAATTGAGATATTATACAATTTTATAAAATACGAACGATTATGAAAACTGATTCTCGTGAATTCTACATTTAAAATGTACTATTATATTAAATGTTTATACACAGATGTTATAATTTGTTTGAACATTTTCTACATAAGAATTATCAAACAGTGGTTTTAATTACAGTGTAATTTATATTACACACGTTTGAAAAAAATGTATAATTAATAATTTTTTTTTATCGCGATTATTTTGATTGAATTTGTTTCTTTTTTTTTTTTGGTTCATGTTAAAATGATTTCACATCATTGATCATATTTTATTCTAGATATTCAACGTAATTTCGCTGATCGTTCGATCTGATTCGAAACAATGATTCCGATATATTATATCATACTGCTAAAAGTAAATATCTCATTGGAGAGGAAAATTCGTTCGATTTAAATGATAATTTATGGAATATATTTCGACTGTCTCATTTTGTGCATAATTTTAACGATCAGAGAAGAGACGAAGTATCTAAAATATCGAAATTCAATGAAACCGTTTTGGATAATTATGTAATTAGTATTACAAACTTTTTCTGCATTGCAAGTTGTAGCCGAAACAACAAACAAAAACTTAGGTTTATCGAAAAATTAGGCATTTTATAATTGAAATGTTTATCTTTTTTACCACGATTTAAGATTCTTGTAATTCCGATCTTGCATTCTTCTCGATGATTTATTTGAAGTCGAAAAATATAGCTCCCAAACAAAATTTCGTTTGAAAAAGAATTGGTGCATCGCAATCTAAATTTCTGTACAATTGAAATTTGTGAGGTGCAACAAGAGTTTTGCTTTTACGTGATATGGATTTCTGCTTCATAACTTAAATCATATTACATCCGTTTTTGTATTCTTTTCAACGTTTATATTTTTTAAACATTAAAAAATCGAAAAAAAACCATATATTTAAAACATTTAGCCACACCGCTTGAGAATGTGATTTTGCTTAAATCACAAATACGATACCCTTCTCTTCGTGTTTATTTTCGAAGGATTCAAATTTCATTTATCAAATGAAAAAAAGAAAAAAATTCAAAGAAGAAAATTAAAAAGATGAAAAAGAAAAATTACCTTCGGTGCACATGAATAGTATGGCAGCGATGGAGAGTCTTGCTTGCCATCTTAAAGCCATTTCCAAAAATTTATGTGTTCAAACGTTTGTCCACTTGTTTTTATTCAAACGATTCACATTATTATCATAATTAGTTCTTCCATCATTTAGAGTTTATTTCTTTTATTTCTTTTTTAACTTTTTCCTCGCGTCTGTGCGTGTGCGTGCGGGTTTATCCAACTCGTGATGCACGTTACGGGAGAAGGGGTGGAAAAAAAATACAACATGAAAAAGTGAAGAGAGGGGAAGGGGAAGAGGAAGAAATTTGATCGATAAAAAAAAGGATCGATCGAAGTATCTGAAGAACTTTCGTACCGTCGTTTCACTTTGCAAAGTAAAATAAACCACTCGATCTTCGAAACTTTTGCGACACCGAGAATTCCACACCCAAAGTGACTACATACGCGGTTTTATGTATGTGTGGGTAGTGTATAAATATGTGTGTGTGTGTGTGTGTATGTATGTGTGTTTGTTTATGTGTATGTGGGCCTTAACGAATACACGCGAACAAATAACCACACCGAGCCCTTTCCCTGCACGAGTTATAACTTTCTAAAGAAGATCGTTCTAATATTATATATATATATTTCCTCTCTGGATAAATGTTTTCAAAAGATCGTTATGAGAAAAGTTTTAGTCGAAAGTTCAAAAATACCAAAGATACCACTTTTTTTTATTGTTTCTTTTTTTAAAAATATTTTCCCGAATATGCCGTTTTGTTTTCTTTATTCACTCAAAGTCACTGCTTTATTTCTATTCTTTAAACTTGTCCCATCATCACTTTACGCGATCACTAATTCATTTATATTTTCCTTCGTATTTATTTTTTCTGAACGATTTAACACCATTTTATAAGTATTTGGAAATAAAGAAAGATCATTTCAACTGTACCACCAATAAAGATAAGATACGAATTCTCTTTCTTTGATCTTCATTCCCAAATGATATCTAACCTTGATTCACTGAATCCAATTTAAGAAAAGGGTCACCAACAAACACGATGTCTAAAGTTTTCCAGATAACACAATGATTCGCACAGTGTCACATAAGAATATATGCACACATTCTATATCTTTTTTTCATACGTACATAATATCTATACATTTAAATAGATCTACAATCCAGACATAAAAATCACAACGATGATCGAGTTACACAATCCCATCAATATAACGGATACCGAACAAACAAACAAACAAACAAACAAACGAAAGTTCACTAAAAAAGAAAAGTGAAAAAAAGCACCAACGAATTAATTCCAATTAGCTTTAAATGAGTAAATAATTAGAGCTGTTATTGTCCGAGATAATTCCTTTACGGCCCCAATTAAATATGGGACCGTATATTGATCCTCCGATCACGACTTAATCACATTGATCGATTGGACCCATATGAATAGGAAAAATAATTTCCAGTCTTTAATTAATTTCTTCTCATGATATCATACGAACAATGTATAATAATTATTGACGAATATTATACGATTGTGATGAAAAATTTGGTGTTGTCCTTTTAATATAATGTAATTTTGTTGCCGGTTGATCGCGAACGTGAAATAATCACATCGTTCATGCACATATAGGACACCATCAACCCGGCACACAGGCACGTCTAAGTTCGCTGGCAGATTTACCCTGACTGGGGAGATTCTTGGCTATGGGAGCATGCGCGTTTCCGATCCACCCCCTGTCACGGTGCTCTGGCGCGCACAGCTTTCCGCCACCGTCCACAGCACGTACCTACTACGATGCTGCATGGGGAAAAGGAAAGGGGTTGGGGAGGATTGAGGGTGGTTAGGAAAAGAGTGGAAAGCTAAGGGGACGAGACGATGTGCGAGAAGGAGGACGGTTTACACGCTTCTGCTCGCGCGTACGTTCTCTCTTACCAAATGTATATTTATGTGTGTGTGTGTGTGTGTATGTGTGTCTTCGAAATGTCTACTAACACAAATGTTTCTCTATCTACCTATCTATCTATCTATCTATCTATCTATCTATCCTTATCTCTATCTCTGTTTCACTGATCTTTGTGTGTCTCTCTCTCTCTTTCTGTTTCTCTGTTTCTATGATGTTTCTGTAAATCCTTTTGAAAACTGTAACTGGCTGTACAAGTAGTACGTGATCGATCTAAAAGATTTAAGATAGTTTTGAATGAAGTCGATTTATTATTTTATCTTTTTCTATTTATTTTCTTATATACTTAGATATATCTATTAATTTTTTTTCATATTGTTATGATTATTCAGAGAGATCTTAAATTAGTATTCGTAATGAACACTTGTGATGTTGTTAGTATAAATAGAATTACATTAGATCAAAGGGAAGTTAGTTGAATTGGGATCGTCTAGATGAATGTATTTATGTATTGCGTGTATCCTCGTATATATGTGTTATTTTATGGTGTATGTGTGGATCCATGTTCGTGGAAGTAAGGTGTTAAAGGTCTTACGAGGATGGAATAGAAAAGGGCTGGATATGAAGGGTTACTACTCGATTTTCGAAAATTGTTCGGAAAATGATGAATTTTTTTGTTTTTACCACCGCTATCTTATTCTTGTTTTACAATCAATATCATTTCATCGTTGAAAAGTTTTCATTTATATCGCGAATAATTCATATATTATTTAATAAATATCAAAGTTATTCCAAATTGATTTCACTTCTAAATAATAAGCATTTCATTATAATTAGTTAGAGATCAGTTTGTGATATTTAATTAATAATTGTATTTGTAAATTATAATTAGGTTAGATTAAAATATAAATATCGGACATTATACGTGCATGTACGTGTGCGTATAGAAAGATACAATTTATAAAATAGAAATAACAATTGCAAAAATTTATTATACATGTAGATAATCCTAAGAGAGATATTTTTTTTTCTCAATTTATTAATTCGATCGATTATAATATCCTTAAAGATCCCCGTACCAAAGCGTGAATATCACCGTAAAGGTATAAATCATAATGGAGCTTTCACGCTGACAGAATCGATCGTTCCCTGGTAATAGGCACGATCACCGGCTCGAATCCCTTGACGCTTTCAATGCGTTTTCACGCGATCCCTTCTACGCGATCCCTTCGATGGTATCCCTTCGACGCCAGGGAGTAGTACGACCGACGGCTTTCGGTCAATACGTGAGACGACAAAGCGCCGAAACGATATTATATATGATATTATACGTGAATCCTATATATATACCCTTTCGACAAGACTTGAATCGTTTTATCCGGTCACCTTTCGTAGTTACAAAGTATTATCATGAAAACGTATCCAAAAAAAGGTAATACACCAATTTTACCTTACATATTATTTTTTATTATTCATTTTATTATTAATTTTATTATTCATTTTACCTTTATATTATTTTATTACAATGAAATTTGTTATAATTATTAATTATTAATAATCAATATTCTTGTCCCAACAGTATATTAATATATATGAGTTTCAAAGGGAAAATTGAAGACAGTTAATAAATTTTGATGAACAAATTTATTTGATCTTGTTGAACGTTTCGTCCCTTACTG